TACTTTTTAATGCGTCAGCGGCTACTTGAGCGAAACAAAACGAAAATATATGAACGAAGATTCGAATCGTTGTTTAGTTTCGCTCGTTTTAGTTCGTGACAGGTTCCAGCGAATTTTTCGCAGCGATTAATTCTCTGATAGCAGAGACACAATACGAAAACGCAACTAACTTAGCTGATTACTAAGCAGAAATCGTTCCCAGTGGCCGATGAAACTTATTTTCGTTTAGTTATCGTTTCTTTTTATATCCTTAGCTTAGTTTAGTTTCGCTCGCAGTGGCGGCCTACCTTAAGGCGGGCGGCCACTGCGAGCGAAACTAAACTAAACTAAACCAAGCGAAGATAATTTAAGATACTTTTAAATGCATCAGCGGCCACTTGAGCGAAACTAAACGAAAATATATGAACGAAGATTCAAATCGTAGTTTAGTTTCGCTCATTTTAGTTCGTGACAGGTTCCAGCGAATTTTTCGCAGCGATTAGTTGTATGACAGCAGAGATACAATACGAAAACGCAGCTAACTTAGCTGACTACTGAGCGAAAATCGTTTCCAGTGGCCGATGAAATTTATTTTCGTTTAGTTACCGTTTGTTTTTATATTCTTAGCTTAGTTTAGTTACGCTCGCAGTGGCCGCCTGCTTTAAAGGCGGGCGGCCACTGCGAGCGAAACTAAACCAAGCCAAGCGAAGATAAGATTTGTAAAAATCAGCTCCCATACTTTTAAATGCACCAGCGGCCACTTGAGCGAAACAAAAACAAAAATATATGAACGAAGATTCAAATCGTAGTTTAGTTTAGCTTGTTTTAGTTCGTGACAGGTTCTAGCAATTTTTTCGCAGCGATTAGTTCTATGACAGCAGAGATACAATACGAAAACGCCAGCCAACTTCTTTTGGCAGGCGGCCACTGCGAGCGTGAGCAACTAAACTAAGCTAAGAATATAAAAAGAAACTAACCTAACTAAACGAAAATAAGTTTCATCGACCACTGGGAACGATTTTCGCTCAGTAGTCAGCTAAGTTACCTGCGTTTTCGTATTGTGTCTCTGCTATCATAGAACTATTCGCTGCGAAAAATTCGCTGGAACCTGTCACGGACTAAAAGGAGCGAAGCTAAACTACGATTTGAATCTTCGTTCATATATTTGCGTTTAGTTTCGCTCAAGTGGCCGCTGATGCATTTAAAAGTATGGGAGCTGATTTTTACAAATCTTATCTTCGCTTGGCTTAGTTTAGTTTCGCTCGCAGTGGCCGCCCGCCTTTTATTTCTTTTGGAGATATTCGCTTTTGAAGAAGACAATAACATTTTTTCTTAATTTTTACATTAAAATCGTGCCTTGCTTGGAATAGTGTTTATGATTTATGTAATGTAATTGTTATTAAAAAATTACATCATATATTATTGTCTGTGGGCTGTTGAGCGGTTACTCTGGCAGAGATAATTTTAAGTCCAGAAGTTATATCTGTATAGTTGCTTTAATTGAAAATGATAGAGATTGAAATTATGTCGCTAACATATTTAGGTGTGCACGAAGTACCGTTCAGTCGCTTCCTCAAGACAAGATCATATGCGAGACGTCCAGGAACCTTCGTATGAGTACTTCGAATCGAAACGATGAACTTATTGTATGTTTAACGCTAAGAAACTGCTGTTTGGCAGCTTTTCAGCTTTATAATGAATTGAATCTAATGCCGGGTCCAGACCAAGTAGACAAAACGACGACAAGGCAGAACATTCATGTTTTACGACAAAATTGCGACAAATCCAATACATTTCTGCGACATTTTTGTCTTATTTTTGTTTTGTTTCAAAATTCGGTAAAGATCAAAGTGTCTATGTTTTGTTCGTATATTTTACAAGTTGTCGGCGCAGTGTGGATTGTGTGTGCTGCCAACAGTAGGAGAAACCAGTGAAATCACACATGGTTAATAAAACTCATTCGCTACAACTAAACTTTTGACTTTGTTGTACTTTTATCCTTGCAGTGTGGACAATTTGTCTCAAGTTTGTCTTATCAGAATTCGCCATTTTTTGTCTCAAAATCGTGTTTACTTTGGTCGCCTTGGTCTGGACCCGGCATAAGGAACGTTTATGTAAATAAACAAACGATAAAAAAAGAAATGAAGCAAATCTTATGTCAAGAAGTATGCTTCGGGACTACAACTTAGTAAGTCTGTTGACTAAAACCAGAAGCAAAGGCATACTTTTAATATAAAAATTGTGAAAAAATGTTAGTGTCTTCTTCAAAAGCAAATATCACCAACAAAAATAAAACCTATTGAGATGAACCAATAAAAAACTATCGAGAAAGGATTTGCCTAGATAATAAAATAATTTTTAAATTTCTTGATGTCTTATCATATACCACAGGGCGCACAGTGCTTCGAACATATGGCTCTAGAGGACAAAAATCCAAAACTTCTCTTTTATTGTAAGCAATTTATTCAAACTAGGTTTATTTGACACAAATGATGAGTACTCTCATTGTACTAAATGATGATGTTCTTAGTCCCACGTTTATGAAAAAAAATCTTATAAATAATAATAATGTTGGAGCTGTGTTCCATCTAAGCAAATAATAAGTTATAGCAAGTTATAGTATGAAAACTGTGTAAGTATTAAATAAATTCCTGTGATAAAAAAGAATTGAAATAACATTAGAACATGATTCCTACAATATAAGCCTAATATAAGATAAAAATGTTTTTCTTTAATGAAAAAGAAACATTAATGTTATATTTAATTAAAAAAAAAACTTAAGATGCTATAAATTTACTTTAGGACAACAAAATGCATAGATCGTAACTACTCTGATTCAGGAGAATCACTGCTGACAGAATCTTCTAAATTTATAGTATCTAAATCACAGGTAGATGAAGTATCCTCACATATAAGATATTTCTGTACATCATTTTCTAATATGTTACTTTTTCGCGTTGTTACTGTTCATTTTGTCGGTATGAGGGGTTCGGATGTTAATAGTTACCTCTTTAATAGACCATATGCATATATTATTTTTTCCTTTTCTTGGGTATGAGATTTTATAATAAACTGAAAGATGGACACTTTTTTTATTCGACGTTTCGCTCCAACATAGTGGACTTTTTCAGGCACAAGTGGTGTCTCATTTGACTGGAAGGTTCATCAATATCTAATAAGAACATATTTTTTGAAATACTAATAATTTTGAGTTCTTGTCCTTATGATCAAGCCAAGTATTAGCCAGATCGGCATTGCTTATCAATCTTACTCCATCTGAAAAGTATTATAAAATAAAGTTCGTCGCAAGCAGACGCAGGTGAACTATACAAAAATTAAAAGTGTAGAATATGGCAACAAAATATTCAATAAATACGATATGTTTTGATATGTTTTTTTAAATGCCTTTTGAAGTTTGAAAACGTAAAATTTTTATACCCATTTAAGAATCATCTTAAAAATAAATAAAAACTAAACAATCACGAACTTGTTTAGAAATAAATTTAAAGTACATACCTTGTTTAACAATATCCATAGTGGCTTTCAATTAAGTACGTACCCGTTTAACTCCATAATATACAGAACTACTATGAATGTTATTCTTTTTACTGATGAGATAATGATCGCAAAATTTATTTTTAGTGAAAATATTAGCTAACAAAAACGCTGTTTATGAAAAATAATATACAGGATGGTTGAACATTGCTATAAGTATAAAATTATACATTCAGATATTAGTAAATTTTAACTTAGTTTTTAATTTTTGTCCATGGGACGAAGCACTGTGGGGCGTTTCAAACTTTCACTAAAATATCATTTTGTTTTCCCTCGTATAATTGACAGATGAAAACTTTTATTTTAAATTAGAAAGAAATACTAAAAAGTCAAATATTTTAGCTACATATTGCTTAAAAAATCATTAAAATCAAGCCACTAGAACAAAATATATTAAACTTTAAAATACATCAAAATTTTAAGGTGCTCGTTTTTCGTATCGGTGAGTGTTGCCCTTTTAGTTGTTATAAATTTGTATTTACCATAAAGTTTTCAAACAAACCATACATCTCAAAAATAACATCATAAAATAAGAAAGATTGTATAATAAAAATTCTCCAGTTGAAATATTGTATTTGGCAAAGAACTTACAAACATGAGTAAGCGCCAAATGTCTGGCAGCCGATTTGTAAATTTTCAAGAATATCTTGACCTCTACTTTCTTTAATATTTGATCATAAATTATTTCCTCGCTTTGACATTACGACTTTTATTATATTAGTAGATCTATTATGATTTATATAGTTATAACTGAGTAGGTATGTCCACGTGAAAATATTTCTGTAAACACCAAGTACATGTAACTTATATTATTTATTTTCAATTATTGTTCACAAATATATTTAAATCGCTATTTATATGCTTATCAATTCTTGAATCAACAGGAAACATTTGTATTGCAAGATAATTGATTAATTTAGTTTATTTTTTATGATATGTACGGAAATAATAAGTTTATGCGTGTTTCTAATTAAACATACTTCTTTGCATAAAGCAGTATCAACACAGTATTGCCGAAAGATTGTTTCTTAACAATAATAACTGTAAATCTTGAACGTCATAAGATCCAAGAAAACAGCGCTAAGTTACCTTAGGAATGAAAATCCACAACATTGACGATATAATTTTATATATAAAATATTTAGGTATAAAACGATCGTTATTTCTAAGGTAACACGACACTGTTTTTTTTTCGATTATACGATATAAAGAAAACATGCGATAGACGTGCATAACATAATACAAGAGCTAGTTTTGTATCTATATAAAAAAAATTAAAAATATATGTAGGTAGTTTAAGTATAACCAAAAAAAGTCGAGGTAGTAAAACTTCTCAAGTATTCAAGATAAATTTGAAAGTTTATATAAAAACTTATTATATGTAATAACCAATAAAGTAAAAGTGATTTTGTTAAACAAATATTCAATAACAACAGAGTATATTTTTTGTTTCTGGAATGTAATTTTCATAGTATTTTTAATAAATGAGCAAATAAAATTACCAACATGTATCAGTGAATATCTTTATCTTTTTTAACGCTTTTATTCGAATTATATATAAAAAAAATACATTTTAATAAAAAACAAAATGATTATATAATATAAAAAACTGTATATTAACATATAATAATTAAAAAATGCTGACGGACAACAGTTTATCAATGCATAAGTAAATCTTAACTGTAATAATTGAGATAAACGTTACAACAGCACCAATATTAAGTAACAATTTTGGGCCATATAGCTATCTTAAATATGCACCAATAAACTCTAAAACCATAACGTTTTCAAGACTTGTTATTTGTCATAATTTATATTTTTCTACTAAATTTTAGTTTCCTCCATTCTTCTTCCTCATCGTATAGAATTCTTGTCTTGTCTAAAATTTAATCAAACATATTTGTTGTGGGTGCCACTTCGAGCAACATTTGTAAAAATACAGTAACTCCATCTAAAACAGAATAAATGTATAGGGAAATTAAAATAACTTTGGTTGTACATCATAATACGACCACCAGCAAACTCCATAAGACGACGCATGGTGTCATTCATGACGTGCAACGAAAGTTGTTGTAATTTCGCTTTACTCTAGGCATCGTCAAAATGTGCTCATGTCTTAAAAATATTCCTAAATCCAACAATTCATACATAATTTATAATAAAAAAGTAAATCGATTTTATTAATTTTTTAAAGGCTTTACAACAAAGATCTCTCTTGATATTCTATTAAGTTACGCACTAAGAGATTGTTTAGAAGGGTGTGTTTAACTTACTTAACTTAAAATTTAAATATACTCTAATAATTAACTTAAAAAAATTAAATATACTCTAATAATCCTGAAGGTAACTGCAGGTCGCTCAACGCTCAATGGAACGAAATATGCTGAGAATAACCAAGAAAGGCCGTTAAAGAATAGAGTGGATACGACAAAAGACCCAGGTAATAGATGTCATTTACAGAATCAAATCTCAAGTGGCAATGGGCAGGATACCTGGCAAGAAGGACGGACAAGAGATAGACCACAAAAACTAAGCATGGTACCCACGAGAAATTAAGAAACCTAAAGGAAGACGAAACCTGAGATGGGACCATGATATTAGAAAATTAGCAGGGATAACTTGGGCCCGCATGACTAACAATTAATAGACAACAATGGGCTCAACTACAAAGAAAGTATCTAAATATGTGACATACACTACACCATAATTGGAAATGGTTGAATATGCTGAATAAATATAATTTCTTAAATATTGATAAGCATGTACACTTATAGTATACAATATTGATATATAAGTTACAATAATTGAGAAAGAATAAGAATTGTCTAGAATTGGGGAGCAATTTAATGGAAGCCTTCAATGATGACGTCATCAGATTTTTACATCACAGTGTTGTGTGGCCTTATGTTACTTTCGTTGGTAACGACCAATGACTAAAGAATACAAGGACTAATAATACCCGAGACCAAAGTGTTACCATACTTCCAAACAGTACCGTGGCACATATTTTTCTTAACTTAGCGGCTTGAAGAGATATTTATATTTTTCATAAATGTTTTGACTATGCCTATGGTGTATGCGATGATATACTAATTAATAACGAAAAGACGTATTAAAATGTTAACAAAAAGTACAAAACTAGTATCGACGTATATCACATATCAAGTACATATAATATCAGAAAAATAATTATTGAATTCAATAAAAATAAAGCTAAAAAAGTGGAGTGGTTTGGTTGACTGTTTATTTGCCTATGAAACGTAACTCCTGGCTCTTTCTTATCGTTGCGACTATTACACTTGAAAGCTAAACAACTTATTACCATTGAAATAAAGTTTATACAAAGTTCACTACAGACAAACTATTAAAAATCGTTAAAATTGTCCCTGATGACCAGCTGATGACACATTCGTTACAGCCAAAAAAATGGTTGCTAACATGACAAATTCTGCTGAAGCCCGTATATGGGCGTAACGTATCCTTGTATTCTTTAGTCATTGATAACGACGATATGCATCCTTTAATTTTCGATCGTTGGCTATTACGTTATGCCGGTTCCACATTCTCGCTGTTGCTCGGCGAGAAAGCCCGAGAACGAGTGTGTAGATGGGACCGCTCGCTATACCTCGCTTTGTCTTTCCCGGCATCGCCGGTGCTCCGTCGAAAGTCGGTTTTTTGGGTCCGAGTCAAAGGTACTCGCGAGAATACCGAGGATGAGCGAGCACAATAGTGTACGTTCTCCGGTTCTCGCATTAATACGCATATTACCGCGAGATTTCGGTGGGTTCAGAGGTTGTGTTGTGATATAAACAAAATGGAGTGGAATAATGAAAAAGAATTAAATTACAGCAACAGCAGCAGCAACTTCTGCGTCGGCCATCTTCTCGCGTTCTCGCACGGATGATGGAGTTCCCGGGAGTTCACAACTGCAGCTGAAACATTCGCTAATTTAACGAGACTGTGTATGGTCGTACCCGAGCACGAATTTCTTGGCCGAGAAGCTCGGCGAGACACAGCGAGCGTATTCGGACGAGAATGTGGAACCGGCATTACAGATTATCACCAGATTGTCACTCTGTCTCTCGGCCTCGGCCATGTTTATACTTTGTGTTTTTATTTACTGATCACTATCATTGAATGGTGATCAATGGAGATCTTAAAATAGTGAGTATATATAAACTGAAAATTATCATCAAGGAAAAAAGATCGTGCTTCCTTGTGCAATATCGTCTTACAGCTGAAAACCTATGAACCATTTGAAAAAATCCATTAAAATCAAAATGACGTCAAAAATGACGACGTAACTGTCAAGGATAGAAAAACAAACTTTATTAGGGTACTTTCGGTATGCTGCAAATACCATACAATCGAAAACAAAGACGGCGTCAGAGATAGCTTGGAAATCTACGCCGATTTTTTTTGGATTACACGATACCATTGAGCTAGAGCATACCAGTTATTTATAAATCATAATAGAATTACAACCAATTGAATGACTTACCCATAAACGGTATCCTATAATTATAATGTACAAAAGGAACATAGAAAATCATTCCACCTAGAATAAACAAGGCTGCGTACAAATATTCGATGGTTGGTTTATCAACGATTGGCCCAATAATTAAGTAGATTGAAATCAACAATACTACACATGGAATGATAAGAGGAACCTAAAAAATACACAATTAAAACAATGGTAAACAAAAATGATCAAATTAGAATAGTTAAAAAATTCCAACAAAGTTTTATCTAACTTATATCACATGATTTTTTTTTATTTTTAACAGGATATTTCTTTTAATAACGGTTCTGAGAAGGATCAAATATCAACTCATTATTGATATAATTATTTTAGTGATAATAATGATAATCTTCGCACCTTGTATGGTCTGGGATAAGTCGGTTTTGTATATCGCATCACGATAAGCGCAACCATCGCACCTCCATAGAAGATCCAGGCTGTAAAACTGAAGAAATCGATGAGGGAGTCTATCGTGCCGTAGAGAACCATAGCTCCAGCAATAATAGACTGAAAAACGAAACCAAAATAAGATATATACGAAATACTGTATAAAAATAATAATACATAAATTTTATTTTATAAGATTATAGGATTCAGAAAGACTTGTTATAATATTGTGATTAATAGAACACTTATTTCCATTCCTCTTTTACACATTATTCTGTCCTACAATGTAAATCTTACATGGAAAATCAAACCCGGGGCTGGTGTATATCTTCTAACATGTACATAGGATAATATATCAAGCAAGTGTCCCTCACGACTCGCAGCAAAACATAATCTACCAGCAGCAAATAATGTACCGTTTGCAGATCCAAATGTGGAGATAGTTACTGATAATGGCATCAACCAAGCCATAACACCTAAAATCAAAAGGAGTTTTAAGTACAATAATAATTATTCTATGCATAATTTTAAACGTAATTAAAAAAATATTGATTATGTGATTAAATATGTACAGAGAAATGTATTGAAAAGAATCCAAACAGAGATTATTTTAGTAATTATCAGCATTTTTTTGTGATTAATATCATTCAGCAATTAGTATTACAATTCAGTCTTAACAATTTTTTAAGAGAGGGTTTTTATTACACCTTGATTTTTGATTTTTGACAACTTTTAATTGACACCAGAAAAAATAATTTAAACAACACATCAGAAATTTCCCCAACATCGTAGAGGAAGAGCTAACTGCAATCCAAGCGTGGTGGTTATAAAAATGTTGACTCTTGATTTTTGTTTCGTTCGATATTGGCAAATGAAAGTTCAAGATATTTCGCTCAAAGTGCTCCAGCAGATTCAAAAAGTTGCCTAACTGCGGACTACACCAACAATGGCGATTTGGTTTGGTTTGGTGGATCCAATTGATGGATCCATATATCTACAGTACGTGTCTATCCATGCTGTAGCTACGGGGGGAAACGATATTCTCTCGATGTTTCTCGTAAAAAATTAGACGACCCGTCTCATCAGTAAAAATTCGATAAATTTGCAAGTAGCCAATGAAATTAGTGGGCGGAGTGTTTTGCAGTGAAATACTCATCAAGTCCACATGGACTTTCTTCCGCTTCTATTTAGGTAACGAATTATAAAATATATTGCTGTTTATTTAAGTTTATCTAGTCGAGGTCGCAAAAACCACACAGTCTCTGGCATGGGGTTTTCAACACCACCTTTTCCATGACCTACCACCTTCAAGCACGTGCATATGGAATTCCTTCAAAGTTTGTCGTTACACAGGCCCTAGAGATTCACACTAATGGAAGATATGAGACTGTAACGGAAGGAATCTTCACAAATGCATAAAAAGCGAAATGGGCTATGCAATCTTTCCAAAAAGCACGAAAAATCAAGATAATGGATCAAAGACGCCAGCATCCTATAGTTATATCGTCCCTATAGAACCTGGGAGGAATTGTTATGACACCAAGCCAATCTTGACAGATATAGTGACTACTTTCAACCTTACAAAGATTCAAAATAACTCCCGAGGCTGCAATGTAATGTCATCAAACACTCATAGAGGCATCTCAATAAGGAAGCAACATTCGTACTGTAACTGCAATTCATACCGTATATTGCCAATTCAATGGATACCTTCACAAAATGAATAAATGACACACCACTCTGCAAGGGTCGTAAATAGAAAGATGACTTCGCAGCCTTGTCATCAATCTGAGTCCATTCTAGCTGAAATCTAGCCGATTTGTTGGCGCTCTTTTCTAACTACCCAATAACTTTTCTAACTAACTAAGATTGGGTGGTGTATTAGACTCCAAAAAAAGAATGTACAGGGACATCATTTTAAGTGTCTCACTCAGTTTATGTTTTTTCTGTATCGTATTTAAATATAATAGAAATGTTTAATACAGAAGTTATAGAGAAGATTAAGAATACACATTTTAAAATTATTATAGAGTATACAGGGTGCTTCAAAAAAGTGTGGAGGATATACCATATGTTTTTTTAAATGCAACACCCCGTTTTTTATTTTATTTTTAGATTCTGCATAAAATTCTATAACTTTTTTATATATAATGTTATATACCTAAAATTAATAGTTATTGTAATATTTAAATTTGTTTATACAAATCTAAAATTGCAGTGTGGCAAAAAATTGTCAGTGGTACCATTGTTTCTGAAGTTGGAATACCAAAATTTGGTATGAGAGTTCTATAGAGATTAAAAAGAAGATATATGGTAAGATATTTTAGTTAAACGTTACAGGGTGTTCAAAATATATTTATGAATTTCAACTACTTAAAATTAAAAAATCTCAAATTTTTTAAATGGTACGCCCTATGTATTTTCTTTTTTTCTGCTAGATTTTGCAAAGCTCTTCAGCTTTTATTAAGTATGTCATATACCTATTTTTAATAGTTTGCGATTTATTCCAATTTTTTCTATTTTTAGCCTAATTTTTAATATAATTACGCTATAACATCATAGTTGCCGTGACAAAACAAAAATATTTATTACTTATTTTTAACAAATAGTTTAATAATTAGTTACAATTGTTATTATTAGTTAAAATTAATTAACTTTACTAAAATAAACTAAAATCGTAGTTGTGGATTTCTTGGATATATTATGAAAGATGACACTTGGATGTTCCGCCGGGGCGAATAGCCACAGATTAGGGTAATACTAACTAGATTACCTAATTGTTGACGACTACTGATATTGAAATTTTCTTCGACATACAGTAACGTTTTTTTTTCTCATAGTAATTCTGGTTTATAATTCATTTCGTAAAGCCAATATTACTACTGCCGCGAAACCGTCCATTACACACTGAAAATATTATAATATAACATAATATGAAAATGTTTTCTAGATAATCTACATCTATTCTTATAGTACTGAACCAAAAATATGTTTATTTTGGCTTGTTCGTGTATATCAGTCACACTGACTAATCCGTTTTCAGGAAAATCTGAAACAATTACCACTACATCTGACATTTATACTTATTACAACAAATTAAACTAAAATTCACCTTTTGTTCTTAACTTGCTTAACAGATATATGAAATTCTGATAATAATTAATATTTTTTGTCGTGGCAACTATGATGTTATAGCGTAATTGTATTAAAGATATGGGTAAAAATAGAATAAATTGGAATAAATCGCAAATTATTAAAAATAGGTATATGACATACTTAATAAAAGTTGAAGAGCTTTGCAAAATCTATCAGAAAAAAATCAAAATATATAGGGTGTACCATTTAAAAAATTTGGGATTTTCTAATTTTAAGTAGTTGAAATTCATAAATATATTTTGAACACCATGTAACATTTAACTAAAATATCTTAACATATATCTTCTTTTTAATCTCTATAGAACTCTCATACCAAATTTTGGTGTTCCAACTTCAGAAACAATCAGGGTGTTGTATTTAAAAAAACATATGTTATATCCGCCACACTTTTTTTATGCACCCCGTATAGTCTATAATAATTTTAAAATGTGTATCTTAACCTTCCCTATAACTTTTGTTTTTAACATTTTTTTGTAAACCTCGAAACAAATGAGATAATGGACTTTACTCTATCGTTGACTCACCCTGTACAGGGACATCATTTTAAGTGTCTCACACAGTTTATGTTTTTTCTGTATCATATTTAAATATAATAGAAAGATGTCCTAATGTAATTATTGCGACGATGCCGATTTTCTACCTCACAAAATTTTGACAGATACTACGCCATCTTGATTTTTTAATTATCTAGAATATGTCTACCGGTAGATGTAGATGCTAAAATATGTGGGTGTTTCAATTTAAAAAAATCAAGATGATGTCTTATCTATCAAAATTGACGTTTTAAAAACTTTTCACATAAAAAGTCGGCATCCTCTCGAAAAATTACATTAAAATATCTTTTTACTATCTTCAAATACAAAACAACACAATTTTAAATTGAGTGAGACACTTAAAATGATTCTGGAACATTTCATTTTTAAAGGCACTGTATATCGAAAACGGTAAGGGCGAAGTATAATAAACTATATATTTTTGAAATCAGCTGAAATAGGTCTACCCGAGGATGTTAAATTTGTGGGGGTTTCCATTTAAAATAAATCAAGATGGCATCGTATCTGTCAAAATTGACGTTTTAAAAAAGTTCGATGCAGAAAATCGGCATCCTCGCAAAAAATTACATTAAAAATATTTCTGCAATCTTTAAATAGGAAACTGGAAAATTATAAAATTGAGTGGGACACTTAAAATGATGTCCCTGGACAAAAAATCCAACATACCGACCCTATCTGCAGCATTTTGAATTACCTTTCCTGGTAATACGAAGTGGCATAAAGGAGCAGTTGTGTGGGAACCTTGGATATTTTGTCTTTTGTTCATGTAATGTTGACCAGATATTTTGATGTTTACTACATTGAAGAGCTAATAGTGTTCACGATTGGTCTCAGAGTAACAGTGTGTTTGTGGATTTTAGGTAGACCATATAAATGAGAAGAACCTGAACTTTTTGGGATTAACTCCTCTTTCTCAATAAAATGGAGTAACGGGGTAAAAAAGAACAAACTTCCTCAAGAAGAAGCGACAGTATTTTTTGTATACTCTACTCTCAAACAGAAAAAGAAATTTTATATTTATTGTAAGGTTAATCTCTGTTTGAATTCACTTTCGTTGTTAATACTAAAGTGATATCGTCATTAGATTCATTTGGACTTATTAACGTATTCACAAATAACGATTTCGTAGTTGTAAATTAGTAAAAAAATACCTGACTGTGGTCGTCATTTCGAAAGAACTTGTCGGTACTCCTACTAAACAGGTTCTTCCAATCAGTACGCACGTTTATTTTCTCAACGAATGTGAATAGGTTTCATAGCTACTTAAAAATATCTATATATTGCCCCAGTTTTAAGCATGGGCCTAGATCATTTGAAACTCACCGAGCAATCGATTCCCGAATACCACAGCCACAGCTTCGCTGGTCATCATTTCCATGGGCGACATTACAGTCAGGTAAGATACGTTTATCAGGGCGTAGCATATCGTTACTAACGGAATACCGATTATAATGCTTCTTGGCAAGTTTCTAAAAAGAAAAATAGTAATGTTTAAATATAAGGAAAATTCAATATGTAATAAATAAAAAATATCTATACAGTGTTTCAAAAAACTCCACTATATTAGCCTAGACTTAGAACTATTACTGACTAGTCCACATATCAGTGGACTTATTGCGAAACACGTTGAGAGATTTCGTGTAGTAAAGAAGATAAATATACTGAAAGATTAATGTAGACTGCGAAGGAAAATTTACTGGAGGAGTAATGAAAAAAAAAGGCTGTAGACCTTCGAAATGAGTGAATGACTTACCACTTCGATAACCAAGTGACAAATGAGGCTCTTCGTTATTTCTGTAAGATTGTGATTATGTTAGAGCTGTGATAAACGATAAATAAACGGTAACAAAAACGAAGGAACTTTATACAGGGTTGTTCACCACATACGACACGGAGTATTGTAGCTAAACGATGAGATTTTTACAAATTGTAAGTTTTGAGTTCGATGAAGGACTATTAGAGGTACAATTTAAAAATAACTTTACAAGATTCAGAGTGTCCCAAATAAGTAAAAAATATCAAAGTTGTATTTTTTTAAATGGAACACCCTGTATATTATTACATTTTTAGTTTCTACGATTAAAATAAAGGTAAATTTGATTAAGATTTATTATACTTAAACCTTACCGTTTTTAAAATATTTTCAATTTTGTGAAATTGCAGTAAAAACTTTAAGGCTTCATTTCTCCAAGGGTATCAAAGTTTTTAATACTAAATATTTACTGAAGTTTATTTACTGATCAGTTATTGTGTTGCAATAATAAAAATAATACTACCTTATACAGAGTGTCTAAAAATTTATTTTAAATAATTATTAGCTTCAAACGGCAATAACTTGTTTAATTTAAATGGAACACCCTGCATATTTTACGAGAATCAGATGCACAATTTAATTGTCTATCAAATTATAATATACGATTTTTACCTATCTCTTTAAGTTTCCGTAGAAAATGCATTTTCTTGTAATTTAGAACTTATTTATCAATATACCCATGGACTATTGACATTTTAGATTATTTTTAAAGATGTACCAAATTTTTAAAGAGTACAGATACTAATATTGTCGATATAATTCGTTTATTTCATTAAAAAATATAAAAAAAACTGTTTAAATATTTGTTAAAGAGACCAATTAATATGATTCCAGTATTCAAACTACATTAACTGACTGTTTGAGTTGATTAATAATAATTGCTCCAAATACTAAAAAACTGAATTTTGTATGGGCATTAGACAGTGTGATAAAAACACCTAAAAATGATATTTCATTTTTTAATAAATGCTTATTTATAACAACAGTTTTAATTTGATAGCTTATTATTATATTGATTTCTGACTCAAATCCACATTTATTTATAATAATTTATTAACGAACACAATTAAGTATGTAATTAATTAGTATATGGGCCGAAATAATGGTGTTATATTTAATTAATGGTATACTCTTTTATAAAGATTTAAATAGTTTTCTTTTTGCACACAAATGGGCTAGTAATATTATCGTTTTGCTAAAAACGATAATATTACTAGTCTGTACATTTTGTACATTTGTTGCTTTAAAAACAATCTAAAATGTCAATATTCCTTGGATATATTGATAAATGAGGTCTAAATTATAAGAAAATGCATTTTCTACGAAAACTTGAAGGGATAGGTAAAAAATGGTATAATACAATTTGATAGACAATTTAATTGTGCATCTGATTCTCCTAAAATATACAGGGCATTCTATTTAAATTAAAGAAGTTATTGCCGTTTGAAGCTAATAATTATTTTAAATAAATTTTTAGACACTCTGTATAAGGTAGTATTATTTTTTATTATTGCAACACAATAACTGATCAATAAATAAACTTCATTAAATTTAGTATTAAAAACATTGATACCCTTGGAGAAATGAAGCCTTAAAATTTTTACTGCAATTTCACAAAATTGAAAATATTTCAAAAACGGTAAGGTTTAAGTATAATAAATCTTAATCAAATTTACTTTTATTTTAATCGTAGAAACTAAAAATGTAATAATATACAGGGTGTTCCATTTAAAAAAATACAACTTTGATATTTTTTACTTATTTGGGACACTCTGTATCTTGTAAAGTTATTTTTAAATTGTACCTCTAATAGTCCTTCATCGAACCCAAAACTTACAATTTGTAAAAATCTCATCGTTTAGCTACAATACTCCGTGTCGTATGTGATGAACAACCCTGTATATACCGGATGCGTCTCGAAGCACCCTATAACTTTTTTATTTTTTCAGATAAAAAAACGAGATTTGGTTTGTTAGTATACGATATAAATTAAGATTGATTGTTGTATTAAATTGTTTTCGGTCACTTCTTGTTTCACCACAAATAACTACAACTTTTAATTTTTAAATGGCACCTCAGTATATTTTAGATTTTTCGATAGAAAATGACACTCTGAGTAGAATGACAATACATACGATACAATAACATACGATAATATGTCAACTTTTGACATTTTGGTTTAAAAATAAATCGTATTTTAAATTTCAATCTAGAGTGCCATGGCTAAATAAAAATACTAATTTTTAATCAAGGAGCCTTGGAAAAATAGATTTGATCGTCTAATGTTTTTCGTGTCATGCTGTCATGTCCTGGCCGGTTAAAAGATGCCCACATCGTATTTTTAATCATATCTCAATTTTTTCAAATGGAACAAGGGTGGCTCATTAGCATATTTGGAAAAAATATATTTTTTTACGAATAATTTGATACCCCAGACTGGGTATTTCGAATCACATTGTCGTTATGAACCGCATGTTACAATTTCAAATAAGCCATATCCGAAAATGTCGAAAGTTGACATATAATATGTCATTCAATTAAAACTGTCATTTTCTATCAAATAAAGTAGAAATATACCGAGGGTGCCATTTAAAATTCAAAAGTTGTAGTCATTTCCGGTGAAACAGGAAGTGACCAAAAACAACTGAATCCGTCAATTAATGCTAATTTATGTCACATACTAACATACCAAATCTCGTTTTTTTATCTGTAAAAATAAAAGAGTTATAGGGTTCATTAGACCATTAGATGCCACCCGGTATAGGCGTTTTATAATATATTTAAATACCTATTATTTTTGTATAAAGCCGGATTATTCGATAAGCTTGCGACATATAATATATTTAATATTACTAAAAGAAACTTCTACAGGGTGATTAAGACAAGTTACGAAATTTAAAGAAAATTAATGTATCATATTTGTATCAAAATTAAATTAATGGATCTGAAGAGACCTAATTAAAAATGCATATCTAAAATTTGAACAACATTGTATGGAACGAACCCCTTATTATTGACGATTCTATATAAACATGGCAAATATAATACTTGATAACAACAAATATTTTACAATTAAAATAGATTTAAAATATTTACGGAAATTTTTGGGACATCAATATAATGATACAACAATTTTCGGCTGTATTTAGGACAAAGCAACGGCCCAGCTACTACTAGAAAATGTGAATATTTGGACGGGTGGACGTCTAGAAATCCCCGTCGTAGTGGTGGTTCGATGTACTAGTGTAAAATCTATTAAAAGGCACTACTCATTCGTGCCATTTAGAGGATATCGGATATCTCGTGAGTGTAAGTCAATTTAGACACTGGCTATCGTCCGGATTAGCACTAGTAGTAAAATGAAGATGGTATCTTAAAATACTTTCTTTACTTTTTCTCTTAAAAAAGCTCTTAAAAATTACCCAATGTTTATTATTATAGGAGGATTTATAGGTAAATGACCACAATGATAATTTTTTACTACCATATTCATAATTTGTGGAGGAATGATACACCAATACTAATAATAAATAAGATATATCATATATTAAAAATAGATACTTGGATGAAACTTGAATCATTTGCTGGACAAAAAACAGAGTGAGAGAGAGATATGTGTTAAAGACGCATCGACTGTAGAGTGTTTTAGTGTCACTTTATCCCATTATTTATATATTTTTATATATGTCGATATCCTTTATATAATCCAACATAGCCTTGTTATTTCGGTAGGAAAGGGCTACCTCAGGGTTATCCACGATACCGTGTTGTCTTCGTTTTAACGCGTTCTTTGGGCATTCAAAGATAATGTGTTTGACAGATATTGGAAGATTACATGTTTCACAAACGGGTTGATTCTGTCCTTTAAGGAGGTGTTCATGGGTAAGTTGCGTGTGTCCTAAACAAATTCTAGTGAGCACAACGAAATCACTTCTAGGTAAGTTAACTACATTATTTTCAAAATAGTCCCTTTTGATTTCATGAAGCTTATTATCATTCATGTGTAAGTCCCATTCTAGTTGGATTATATTATCGATCATATGTTTGCCATAATTCTTTAGATCTTGCACGGAGAAAACAAGGTTGGTTTTATGAGGGTTGGGAGTTTTTGCAGCCAAGTAGTCAGCTCTGTCATTGCCAGGAATTCCTATGTGGCTCGGAAGCCAAAGGAAAGTGACGCTATAGTGCTTGGACAAAAAACAAAACGGGTGACCAATATTCAAATGTTTTAATAAAAATTCGAACGGGAATTCCCCGTTCTTTTGAAAAGAACCAGGACTCGAAAATATTAATTCCCGGTTCTTTCGGTACTTTCGGGACTCGGTAATAATAATTAAAAACATATTTTTTGTTACGTGCGAAAGACTTTTGATACTTTCTAGCGGTCGAAATCAAACTCTTCTAAATAAGTAGCGATGCTATCTCTTACTGTTCTTACTTCTGAAGTTATTTTGTTTAGGTTGGTCAATTTGTATTCAAGTTTACTTTCTCATGACTAAATAATTTGATATTATTTTCATTTGAAACTCAATTTTTTATAAGTTTTACTTTTGTTGAGAACCATCCCTTGCTTGCTAATTGACCAAATAAAAAAACCAAACCAAACCAAACCAAACTCTACAATCGTTGAACGAAAATATTTAAATACGGCCCGGA